CTTTGTGATGGTCGCACCAGGGTGCAGCTGCCTTAGCAGGTCCCTGCTTCAGCTTGCAAGATTGACTTCATACAAGACAACCCCAAGGAGAAGCTACATGGACCTATCCCGATGCAGCCCTGGGTGCTGGAGCAACCGTTTGGAGATCCCTGCTAGTGCTGAGATGCTTGTTTGTTCACTGACTCAGCTTTCCTCCTGCACTCAGCATCATTGCCTCTGTTTTGTGAGGTGGAGGACTTTGTGGACTGGTGGGTAAATGGGTTAATGTTGGACTTGTGGGCTTGGGCAGCATTGGGTTGGGATGTTTTCGTAATGCACATTTTCTTTACATAAAACTCTCTCTTATCCATGAGTTGCTGTGGATTTGTTTCTCCAAAGTACTTAGACTAATACATCCCCTATATGCCTTCATAAAATACAAAACCAATCTGAGCAATATTTGGTTCCTACTTTGAGGGAGTTGTGCTGGACTACAGAAGACTACATGAGCAGGACCCAGTATCCTTCACAGAGCGTTCAGCAGAGAAGAATGGATCACTACCAGTTTCAGCCAGATAGAAAATCTGTTAGGCTTTGTGACTCAGTCACTATCCATTGCAATTTCTCAACTCTGCCTTTACAACACGAAAGCAGCCATAGACAATATATAAACAATGGGCAGGGTGTGTTCCAATACAACTTTATTTTCAATAACAGGAAGTAGGCCAGACTTGGTCTGTGTGCCATAGGCTGCTGGCCTCCGGTTTAGCAGAAGTCAGACCCTGACTAATGCTGTATTTTGTACATTTTTGGTTTTATGTTTTGAGAACACACTATGCTGCCATGCAATATAGTAGCCACCAACTCATTTATTTTTCTATTACATTTACTTGCAACTAAGAGTTATTACTTCCACTTTATAAGTTATTTTATTTATCTCTAAGAAAAGAAGTCAAACAAAATGCTTTAGGGAAACAGGGAACTGGGCGCTTACACCGAGCTTAATATTACTAACATCTACACAATGAGGTAACATCCATGATAACTCTTTAGGACTCAAACAGGTGGAAATGGGAATTGTGCTAGCCTTAGAAAATGCCTCAAACAAAGGTCAAATATGAAACATAATAGAAAACATTTTAACCAGCGAGTACTAAATTGGGTAAGGGCAAATGAGACAGAAGCCATGACTGAATGGACTATTCTAGCATTCTGTGACTACGTAGTTTGGACTCTGGTAGGTACAATGGAACTACTGGAGGAGTTTTGGGTTTCATTTTTGTTGTCATCTTATATTTTATTTATTACGTATGGGTGATCCAAATCAGGACAGTACTTCAGACAAATGAACCAACCATATTTAAATCTAAAAGTATTTTAAAACATGGATTCAGATTCTAGACTCCGAAGTCAAAAGTATATGGACTTATTTCTTGGTTTTACTGGTTATTATTAGTCTAGGGGGCTAATATTTTTAGCTACAGTCTTAGAGATATAAAAGCTCCTATTGAAAAAAAAATTTAAACAAAATACTGAACACCGTAATTCTGAGTTGCTCAATAAATAACAGAAAAAACTGCCACTGAAAATACTGATTTAAAATGAAGATGTAAAAGAGAGGGAGAATAAAAAGGAAGAGGAGGTTCTAGGGGTAGAAGTGATAGCCTATTTAAGAAATGATGATTACATTAGATAAAAAATAATGAGTTTGTGCAATATTGTGTCAGTGCTTAGAATGTTCTCCTATATTCACACATATGCACACATGCACACACATATGTACAAACGTCTGGGTATAATAATAAAAGGTTTGCTTTTATGTTGTCAATTTTTGTTTTAAGCATTGTGTGCCATCCAAGCCCAGTTCTCACATATTCTTAGTTTCTTCAAGTAACCGTACCTTAAGTGATACCCAATCCCCCATTTCTTCTTCAGAAACAGAGAAGAGCCCGCACACTTCAGCTTCCCTTTGGAGAGAAACACTTTCCTATCTGGAAGGAAGAGACACAGAAGGCAGTGTTAGGAAGTGGCCCATTCATGTTCAAGTTGCTGGTAGGTGCCTTTGAGACTGTTTGGGCAACAACAGGAAATGCTACCAAGTCACATGCTGTGCTCACAGTGTGCTGTTATAGACGCTGTGTCAGTTCATGTCCAATGCAATTATGTGATTATTTCTGACGGTTTCAAAGACAGAGTTTAATAAGGGCTTATCGAAATAGATGCAGTTCTAATCATTCTTACTATGGTTATATGAATTACTAGGAGTTATAAACCCTATTTATACACCCCAGGTTGTTGTTTTGCCCTTGAAACTATCAGGGATGTTAAATTATATGGCTGTATTGTGTGCTACAGCAAATCATGGCCTTATGTATATGTAAAGGAACATACACCAATTAGTTATCAAGCTGATTTACCTCAATTCTCAGTAAAAGTATGTCTCCTAGAAAATAGACTGTCACTTTCTGGCAGATCATGTCCAGGTGTCTTCTCAGTGATCCCAATTCTACAGAATACTCCCCTGGTTAGAGCAAGACTCTCTGATGCTGGTTCATATTGTCACCAGCAAAGATACTTCCTGGGATACTACTCCCCATTGCTCCACTTCATGACTCCCTTGAAGGAAACCAAGTCACCTGCCAGGATATCAGCCTCATCCATGAACTGAGTACTGAAGAGGATGACCCTGTCTTTCTTACGCTCCTTCAGGAGGTTCCACACTCGGTGTCTTGAAAAGGGATCTAATCCTGCAGTTGGTTCATCTAACAGGAAAATCTACAGAGGAGAGAGAGAGCGAGAGAAGGATTTCCCACACTAGGCAAATTTTTTTCCAGAAGTAATACTGAAATGATAAATGGTTTACATATTTGAAAGGTATTATGGTTAGGATTTTATTCATTTAATATTATACTAGGAATTGTTCATCTTCTTTGCTGATAAAGAGTTAGAATGACCATAAAAAGTTTCATCCTTTAAAGATTTGCATTCTCCGTAAATTGCTTTCAACTTACCTGAGGATCTCCTAAAATGGCAATCCCAAAGGTGAGTTTTCTTTTCTGTCCACCACTTAAGTTTTGAACAAGAAGATCTTGAATATTTTTCATCTCCAATTCCATCAAAACTCTTTTTACCTAACCAAGAGATAACATTTTAATCATGAATTAAGGTTCATTTGCTTTTCCAGTCGTGCCTTCCTCTCTCCCTCCCCCACTCCCTTTTTCCTTCTAGCATTGATAGTTCTCATCTTGGCATTAACTCTCTGTTAGCAGCAGATTTCTCAATGCCAATGATGGTTCTGATACTTTCTTATTCTTACATAGGGTAGCATTCACTTGAGGGAAGTTTGCAAGCTTCTGCATAGCAATGTGTCAGTTGGAAGTGACTAACTTATGGATACAAATCTTTAAAGTATAAGGATTAAAAGGCAAGATCCTGGACCCAGACTGCTTGGGTTGGAATACCAATCCATGGTCAAATCACTAGCCTTCTTTGAACCCCAGTCTCTTCATGTAGATATAATAAGCCTTGTCCATTAGACTGCTACCTGTAAGATTGGTGGTTCAATCCCACCAGCTGCTTCATGGGAGAAAGTTGAGGTTGTCTGTTCCCATAAACATTTATAGCCTCAGAAGTCCTATATAAGGTCCCTGTAAGTTGTAATTGACTCATGACAATGTTTGTTTGTTTTTTAACCTCATAGGGTTATTGTTAGAGATAAATGACTTAGTATACTTAAAGTTAATGATATAAAACCTAAATTGGATTTAAATTAGATTTTCTTGTCCAGTACTTATACATCATTTAATGACCCTTCTTCCAGCACCCGCCCCTACCTGCCGCTATAAACAAAATAAGACAAAAGGATAAAGTGAAACTTCTCCTTAGGGTTTTGGAGACTGTATGCCTTTAAGGGAGCCAACGGTCTCATCTTTCTCACTTGGGGCAGTTTGCTGGTGGGTTTCAACCACTAACCTTGCTGTTAGCAGCCCAACACTTATCCCACTGTGCCAGCAGGCCCCCTGATAAACATTTAGGCAAAGATAATTTAATGAAAGAAAATAAAACTGAGTGAAAGGAAGATCAATAACCTTACATTGGTATTCATATATTAATAAAGTAATTAATTAATAGGTTAAGATCTGAATCTCATATATTAACCCCAACATGTTTCAGTACCTCTTTCTCCACTTCTTGTGGTTGAATCCCTTTTATTTTAGCAAACAGCCTGAGGTTTTCTTTCACGGTGAGGAAGTCAAATTGAACATTGGATTGTGGGCAAATTCCAGTGAGTTTGTTGGTATTTTCAAAGTCCGTTGATCCTGAGAGCTTAGTATTATAGATGGTGACTGAACCTATAACAAGGATTAGAAGTTCACATCAGGGTAATGTTTCAATAAAGATATCCCTAATTGTAACAAAACTCAAAT